TGGACCTTTAAAGAGTATTCTTAGGAAGTTTCAGCTGAATCCAAGTTTGAGCGATTTTCGTCGTAGTAGCACTTTAACAAAACCATAGTTAGTAGAGCGGAATACAATTAAGTTACTAGATGTGAACAAATAATAACTTAAAACATTTAAGCATAGTTAAAGGCACAAATAGAAAATTGAAAACCTATTCTATGTGTTTGTTTGACGTTATCTTAGTATTAGGAAATATAGACGTTTTCAAACTATTTGTGCCTTTAACTATGCTAAAATGTAACTACTCAGTTGTCGTCACAGAATAGTCTATTTTCTAACGACAAGTCATTTTCTAGCTGAAAACTAACTGACGCTTTTGAGAGATGACAAATTATGAAGCAATTTGACAAATCTTCTGATCTGGCATAATTCTTGTTTCTATGATTGATTATATTCTAAGCTCGTAAAACTATCTTTTCTTCACTCAGTCAACTACAAAAATTAAAATTTCGATCAAAATTACATTTTGCGTAAACAATCCTTACCTGTTCTTCAAGTGTTGGCAACTTCCAAGGCATTTAAATTGTCCATTAACCATGATAGCTAGACGTGAACACAGCGCTTCGCACTCCTCCATACTATAAAAGAAAATTTATGCTGTATATGTTTAGATCTTTTTTTAGCGTATTTAAAGCAGACTTCCGCCACATACCTGTGAGAAGTTAGCACTACAGATCTACCATCTTTTACAACGTTAAGAATGAGGTTCCATAGGAAACGCCTGGCACGTGGATCCATCCCTGTGGTAGGCTCATCCTAAAATACGAAAAGAAACTTATCAGATTAATGAAAAGGTTTCACCACATCAAAGATGATAATGTTCAATGTTGTTGATAATACTACTGAAACATTCCTTCTTGTTTTTGTTTTTGTTGTGTGTGTGTGTGTGCGGGGGGGTATCAAAGACAGTTGCCAATAGTGTAATCCAACATTCATTCTGTTGGTGATCAATTTCATTAATTTCTAGCTTCCATTAATCGCTTACCAGAAATATAACAGGTGGGTTGCCAATAAGTGCTATCGCTGTTGACAGTTTTCTTTTGTTGCCACCGCTGTACGATTTACACGGGTATTTAGCATAAGATGACAAACCCAATTTCTTCACTGCCCATGCAGTTACCTAGTTGAAAAAGCAATTCATTTAAGGTGGAACCAAACTTATTCAGAGCGAGTTTTGGACAATTTTATTCTCGCTCCCTTCGCAAAACTAAAGCGTCAATTTAACTGGATTTTTCATCTAATGTGCTTGGATTATCCTAGATTCTAACAGTGTATTTTATTTTAAGATTTCTTAAGTGTTTAACCTATTATGGCCGAAAATCAAACAGTGTTATTTTTAGTTTTTGGGTTTTTTCTCCTCATCCTCAGGTACGATTTTTCTGAAATTTTCAGAATCTTATAATCCAGTACTATTGCAGGCTTTGTATAAATTTGGATGGAAAGTCTTGGGCAGAAAAAAAGTTATGACGCCGCTTGAAAATTCGATCCAAAATTTGAAGAATATGAAACATCGCGCTGCAGAAACATTACCATTGAATGGATTGCCTTGAAATTTTCACATATCTATTTCCAAGTATTGCGGATGAGCCTTACGAAAAATCAGCATCAAATCTTAAAAACTCATCGAATAAATGCTTTTTCACTAATTGTCGTTGTAAAACTCAAATATGAGAGTTTTGCTAAAAATCACATTTTCGCCGTTTTCTTCAAAACGGCTCCAAGTTTTTTCTTTAAACTTCCTATAACAATAGACCAGATCTTTATCTAGATGGTAATGGTCGTCCTATCCAAATTTTGGAGAAAACGTTTTTTAAAGTGAGGAGTACCTAAAGAGCTCCCTCGTCATACAGTTTGTAAAATACAGTTAAATTGACGTAACAGTTTTGCGAAGGGAGCGAGAATAAAATTGACGCTTACGTCTAACAATATGCTCACTGGACACTGAGTTGGTTTTTTAAAAATAAGATGTCGCTCATTTGATTTCAGCGTACTTTATCGAATTCTGCCGCCGCCATGTTGATAATTTTGATTTCAAGCTGTCAAGTTTCATTAGAACTGTTGAGTTTAGTTGAACGGCTGGTATTTTCGTTGATGGCTAAGGCATTGACATTCACTATTATGTTCGCTGGAATATCGAATATATCACTAGAAATAGTGACTGGTCTGCCGTTTTATCTGGGAGATCTGGAATGGCCTCAGAACTTGGATTGTCAATGCTCGTTCATGTTGTGGTTTGGGTGCTTGTAGTCAGGCTTGTAGTTTTTGATAACTATACATTTATATTAAAATATGGACAGTCGTTCAGAAGGATTTCATTATCATAAGAAAACTAAGTTCTCAATTGTATCCATTTTCAGGTAAAATTTAGTCGAAAAACTGTCTTTCAAATAGAAAATCCAATTCAATTTGCTTTTCTCATGCTTTTCTCATGCTTTACTTTGRCTTCAAAATGGATATAATTAACGGCTTAGTTACATCCATTTTGAAATCACTGGTGATTTCTACAATCTGATTGGCTTCCAGCTGTGCGATTTAATCACRAATCACCGACTTAACTTAAAATACTTGCCAATTACTTCACTAGGCGATACAATTCGCCTACGATTCATTTTTTTTCACAAAAGCTAAGGAAAGAAAATACTCGTGGATAAGCTCACTATAAAGCATAGCGAAATGTCACACAGCCTTTAATTTATAAATTTGGTTGATAATTTTTATCAAGTTACAGGTATATTAAAACTGCTGCTCCTGGAAATGTTTTTTTGAATTGTTTTATTGAACAATTGCTTTAAAAGTTATAAACTATTGATATTTGATCACATCTTCCTTGTATGTTTTTTCATTCCAGTGATGTGTCAAGAGGACTGTTTTTTTATCGATATTTAAGCCATATAAGCTTAAACTCTAGCCTATAATTCTAATTTTTTCCATAATATAGCCCTTTGTAGGTAAAAACGAAGTGCAATAACAAAAAAGATAAATAAATTATTTACTTTCAAATGTATTGCAATGTCAAGTTTATAGGCCCGTTTACACGATATCGATATTAGGCACGGCACTCCTAAATTTCGATACGCGGGCCGACTTTTTTAGGCACGGCACGCTGAATTCTTGTCGTGTAAACACAAAATGTTTCGGCACCCGTCTTAAGATTTCTGGCACGCGGACTTGTTTTTAGGCGGGCCGAGACTACCTGCATAGGTAGTCTCGGCCCGCTTGAGAACGTGGTCCGCGTACCACAATTGCACAAAAATGGCGGCAAATACTACAAACTCTCCAGAAAAGAGTAAAACCTCAAAAGTATCCTCGCACGTTTACAAGACACTGTTGGTGAGTTGATAGTTTTTTCCAAGAGAACTGACGGATCTCCACGCTTACACTGTATTTAGCTTATGTAACTTAGAATTAACGTAAAGTAACCATTTAAATTGCAGTCCCAATTAGAAGAGAAAGGGTACGCAGGTTTTACGTTGAAAGAGGTCGTGAGCAAGATAAAAAAATAAAAAGGCAGAAATACAAAGCAGAGAATGATAAAAAAAGAAAAAAGTGGAAGTAGTGCCAAGAAACCTTGGAAGTTTTTTGAAAAACTCGACAGGATTCTCTCGTGTAAACATAACGTGGATCCTCCAGTCTTAATTGATAGCTCCAAAGAGTCCACAAAGGATGAAGAAGGTAAACAAAAACATTCGCCTTTGGAGGAATTCTGTCATTTTACTTTTGTGTAACGTTCTAAATTTATAAGGGGAGTTCATCCAGTAACAATCACGTGTCAAGGTATTGCAATAGCATATTAGCTTATTCATATTAGCTCACCAAACTTACAGCGCTTCTCAATCACGCGAAATCGTAGGACTTCAATCAAGGCGTTTTCACAACATTCCATAGACACGTACCCTTGAATGCTTTGTGCTTCCCGGCAATGTCATGGAAACACTTTGGTTGACTTCCACCAAAACCTTATTTTGTCGCGATAGGAATTTTTACGAATTTGCGCGGGTGATTGAGAAGCGCTGTAAGTTTGGTGAGCTAATATGAATACCTGGTTTACGAACCTGTTTGAGTTCATTCTCAGGGACACCTCTGAGTCTTGCGTATAAATAAATTTGCTCCTCCGCTGTCATCTCATCGATAAGAGCATCAAACTGTGGGCAGTAGCCTATACAACGGTACACCTTCGGGATGTCGGTCGAAATTCTGTAGGAGTCACAGAACAACAAATTGTTAACAGTGATATTCTAAACATTTTCTAGGAAAGAAAACCTGTATTATTTAACAAATATTAGCTTTAGGCGAAGTGATTATTGGTGATTAGTATAAATTTAGACTCGAATACAGTTTCACGCCCTGTGATTGGTCGAGCAACCAGTGATTGATAATGGTAATCGAACTGAGAGGATATAAAGTCATACCTTTCTTAGAGTGCAATTTGGAATAAATTTGAATGAGTGGGTTTTCAAAGAGTTCAAAATTTATGTCAAATTACAAATTGCAAATTTTCTAATTTCAAATTGCACTCTAAGCAAGGTATGATTTCCTATACAAATTGCACATGTAGTTCAATAACCACTTAATTTGTCCATTTTGAAATACTCTACACTAATACTTCTCTTCACTGTCTATGTCAATGATTTGCTGTCTGTTCCTAAACACAGTACGTTTGTGTTATGTCGATGACTGTAAATTGTATCTGTCATATCCCTCAAGTGATTTGGATGATGCAGTCAGCAACCTAAATGAAGACCTTCATAATATATGCCAGTGGTGTTGTCAGAACTCTCTACTAATTAATCCTGAAAAAACCAAAGTCTTTCTTATGTCGAACACCCTCCATCACTATTTCTATGCTGGGAGAAGAAATCGCCCCAATAGCATCTGCTAAAAATCTTGGGCTATATATTGATCAGTCTCTGAACTACAATGAAAACATAAATAAAACTGTCTTCAACTGTTTCTATAAGCTAAAACAAATTAATAGAATCAAACATTTGTTAGATACTAAGACACTTCTTATTTTAATTCAGTCCTTTGTTTTCAGTAGAATGTTTTATTGTTCTACTGTATGGTCCAATACTAGTAATCTTCATAAATTGCAGTTGATACAGGGCTAGAATAATGCTTGGTCTTAGGAAATATGACCAAATATCATCAGGTTTGAAATCTTTGAATTGGTTGTCTGTGAAGGAAAGACTGTATTTAAATCATGGCATTTAAATGTATTCATAACTTAGTTGCTGACTGTTTACATATTTATAGTACACTCAACAAAATTACTCGACTCTGATTGGTCGAGAGGAGTACAAT